ACGTTAAATGACCATTTTGCCCTTATAAATAAATAATTTTAAAAGAATTACAATTTGGCCGGCAGGACCAAATCTGCTAATAATTGCGTAGTTAAAGGTTTAAATTGAGAGTTTTGAAAGTCACGTACTCAAATTATCAGTACCCTAATAGTTACGGGACCAAAAGTGCAATTTGTTCTTTTTTGGTGTTAATATATTATAGCTAGTGTTTATAAAAGTTGATGATGCGAGTCTTGTGGCAGAGTTTTGGGCAATTTATCAAATGTTATTTCTAAGTTGGGACAAATTAAGATTTTTGGATATGATTATTGAATTGAAAAGTGACTCATTGTTCAAAAGGTTATGCAAATTAACAATGTTCATTATTCTTCTCTTCTTCTCCCAAATACTGCACATTAAACTATTAAATTAAGTCCGTGTGGGTAATGTTCATTATTCTAAACGTATGCGGAGCAAGAATTTTTGTTTTTTTTTTTTAAACATCACTACAAAGAGTATAAATAAAACTCATAAGTCATAAATGTGAAAGAAAATGCAACGTTGCAAAGGCCCACTAAAATCCATTGTAAGCCCATAGCAGAAACCCTAAAAACAGTCCATAATCAACAGTGCTTCTTTCCTTTATACTATCAAGCTCTATTCAAAGAAACGTCTCTGCCGCAGTGATTTGATTTCTTTCCTCTTCTCCGAGTCAGTGTTCGGGTAAGTTGTCTGGGATTTGTCTTATAATTTTTCCCATTTTCGACGTGAATCTTGTGTTTGATTGTTTCTTCAATTGCTTTCGTGAATTACATTGGTGCCCTATGTTTAGAGACTTGATTTTTAGCTGCTATGGTCATAGATCGTTAGTATATCACTTTGTCCCTTTTAGTTTTGAGAAATATGTTGCTGTCTACCGTGTAATCCAACTTTTTTGTCTGAATTTCAGTTCGTTTCCAGTTGCTGAGATTTTTTTTTTTTTTTTTTTTTTTTTTTTTTTTTTTTTTTTTTTTTGAGTTTTGATATAGAACTTTTGCTAAAAAATGGTGAGAGTTAGCGTGTTGAATGATGCTCTGAAGAGCATGTACAATGCTGAGAAGAGGGGAAAGAGACAGGTTATGATTAGGCCTTCCTCAAAAGTGATTGTCAAGTTTCTTCTGGTGATGCAGAAGCATGGTATGTTTGTTTCATTCTGTGAACAATTGCTGTTATGGGTTTGGTGGTCTTGGTTTGCTTACTCTTGGATGTCTTGCAGGATACATTGGGGAGTTTGAGTATGTGGATGATCACAGAGCAGGTAAAATTGTCGTTGAGTTGAATGGGAGGTTAAACAAGTGTGGTGTAATTAGTCCTCGTTTTGACATTGGTGTCAAGGATATTGAAGGGTGGACTGCAAGGTTGCTTCCATCAAGACAGGTATCATACACTATTCAAATTAATATTTTCCACTTAGAGATGTTTACTATTAATCTTTCTTGATTCATACTGTTGAATCTTTTTTGGCCCTGATCAGCATTGTGTTGTGGTAATGTACTTGTCAAAGGATTAATGTTGGTACACATTCTTTGGCACTCATCTGAAAGTTGTTTATCTCATAAAGGTCTATATTGTTGATGTGGTTTTTATGTTCTGAAGATTTTATTCCAGTTTCCTTGATTTTCAGCTCATGTCTATGTTTCGTGATTTGTATTTTACACTGAAAGGGAGCCCTTTGGGTTTTTCTCCAAATGAATTTATTGTTTTTTTCAAGTATATTTGATCTGATTGTCTAGATTGTATAAATCAATTTGTACCTCTATCATGTTCTCCGTAGCATGTTTGATTAAATAAGAGTGACAATCCACGTTGAATTTGGGGCAACTCACTGAATATTTGCAAGACCCAAGTGGTAGCAATTGTCACAAAATAAAGATTTCTTTGTTGATGAGCAGTTGAGGCTCTCCTGCAAAGGAGGGAATCCTGTATATCTCCGAAGGGTCAATCTCATATCCTATCACCTTGGGGAGCAGAACTCTGCAATTACCTCTTGGGTTTGGCCATGAGAAGTACATTACTTTTATGTGTAATTATAATGATATAAAAGCTATTTTGGATTTTGGCGTGTTAGTTTACACATTCTATTTGATGGATTTTCAGTTTGGATACATTGTGCTGACTACATCTGCTGGCATCATGGACCACGAGGAAGCCAGGAGAAAGAATGCTGGAGGAAAAGTTCTTGGCTTCTTTTACTAGAATTTTCTTGTTGACGAGAATGACAGGTGTTGGTTTTTGTCATGTATTTCTGCTTTATACCTTCAGCATGGAGATCTATATGTTTGATTTTAACTTTGTTTTCCCTAAGATTTGAGTAGATTTTGTTTGCCTTTATTTCATTTTGGAATGACATTATTGACTAATACGTTTAAGCCGAATGTAGTGACCATTTCTATGTCACTGATGCAATTTCACACACCATTTACCATCTCTGCACATACCTGCTTGCTTGCAAGCTCCATTTATACGAGTATACCCATGGTGTGCCTTCTCTTTAGTGATATTTGCATACGAGGCTTTTGTTTATAGCGTTGAATGAGTATTGTGTTTGCGTGATTGGCCAAAAGCCCAAAATGAGGCATGACCGAGGCTAATTAGCGCGATTGAACTACATATGATTGGAATGAGACAGAACTATGAACTAGGCAATTGATCAAAAGACTCGCTTTGTATGAAGAAGCCATGAACTTTTTTATTGTTGTCAGGTAGAAGAAAACAGCATCAACTCTGCATTTCTGCAAACTTGGGTAAGGTACAATGCCAAAGGTTCTTATGTTTTTAGGGTAACATCCACCAAACATGCTAATTAATTTTCTTTGCAAATTTATTTTTATCAAATACATTTTTTGAAAATATTTTCTCACAAATTTAATTGATAGGAAATAACCAAACATACTCATTACTCTAAAGATATTGTAGTTCATAGTAACGGACAAGAGAAAATTTAAGAAAACATGCAATTTTTTTTTTTCAAATTAAATATACTAAATAGGAAAACCCTTTACGACGAACTCAACAAACATATTAAATAGGAATACCCTTTATGACGAACTCAACCAAGATAGAGTGTTGTTGTATTGGTAAGAATTGAACCAAATTTTAGAGTTTTAAAAATTTTCTCTGATCATTGTAGATGGTGACCAGAAATTTTATTCTTCGATTAAAGATGGTCAAAAATAGTGCCTGCACTTTTGACCTGTGGTGGGAAAACTTTTGATATCCAATTTCAAAATATTTAAAAATTTTAATTTTAATTTTGGGAAAATAGCACTTTTTCCCCCTATGTTATATACTTATAGCACTTTTTCCCCCTCAATTATTTATGTAAGCACATTAGCCCCCTCAATTATTTTAAAAGTGGTGGTTTTCCCCCTTAATATATTAAATTGACATTTCTACCCTTAAAGTAAACATTTTATTTATTTTACTTCTCCAACAAATTATTGCGTATATGTAGCGATTACCACGGTTCGATTCGAACTGAACCAGACACTATAGCAATCGAATTAAAAGTTTTCAGTTATGATTCAGATCTAGAACCCAATATTTGGATTTCAATTTATTAAATTTAAGAATAAAAAAAAAACTGGATCATGAACCGGCGGTTCCGAATCCCGTTCGCGATTTTGAACCGTCTTTATTTTAAAATTTTATTTTTTATTTTAAAATAGCTTAAATTCAACAATAAATGTATTTTATTTTTTCAGTTCGGAACATGAACCGGCCATTCCAGTTCGCGATTTTAATAAACTCTAAATATCGCGTTTTGATTATAAATTGTAATTGGAATATTTTGGTTTGGTTACTATAGTATCTAGTTTGAACCAAATTATAGTAATAATTTATTAGAGAATAAAAATAAATGAAATATTTATTTTAAGGGTAAATATGTCCATTTAACATTTCAGGGGGAAAAAGAGCCACTTAAATAATTGAGGGGGGAAAAGTGCTATAAGTATATAACATAGTGGGAAAAAATGCCATTTTCCCTTTAATTTTTTAGCAGGAAATTCATAGTTTTGGTCATTTAAAAAAAAAAAAAAACCTGTTTTAGTCATTAGTTATACCTAAATTTTAACTTAGTGAGTGTTGAGTTTTCTGGATGAGAACAGATTGTATTGTATTTACTGAACTTAATTACAATGAGATCAGATGATGTGAATATATAGAATAGAGAGTCACAGTGTGACAATGATAAGAAGTAGAGAGTCACAGTGTGACAAGGATAAGAAGTTCTAAACAGAGTCACAGTGTGACAAGGATAAGAAGTTCTAAACAGACTCATATACATAGAGTCCTAATACTCCCCCTCAAGCACAGTGTATACTAGTAACCTGTAGCTTGTCCCTTAAGGAAGAAAATCTAGGTCCAGGCAGAGCTTTGGTGAAGATATCAGCAAGTTGATCTTTTGTGGAGATGAAGTTGACTTGGATATCGCCCGAAGCTACTCGATCACGAACAAAATGATAATCAATCTCTACATGCTTGGTGCGCGCATGAAAGATTGGATTGACACTCATATATGTAGCTCCTAGATTATCACACCATAATTTTGGAATGGAAATACTCGGAATCTGTATTTCACGCAGTAATGACATAATCCATAGAACCTCAACACAAACATCTGCAAGAGCTTTGTATTCAGCCTCAGTGGATACCTGGCAACAGTTCTCTGTTTCTTGCAAACCCATGATATAAGATTACTCCCCAAGAAAACAGCAAAATCACTCGTGGATTTTCGATCGTCAGGACAACCAGCCCAATCAGAATAAGAGAAAGCATGAATGTCTCTAGATGAGCACCGTCGTATGCGTAAACCATGATCAACTGTTCCCTTAACATACCTGAGTACCCGTTTGAGCTGCTCCTAGTGTGATATGGTGGGAGCATGCATATGCTGGCATAACTGATTAACTGCAAAGGATAGGTCAGGTCGTGTGACAGTGAGATATTGCAGTGCTCCACTCCTGTATTGTGTGGGATCATCATATAGATCTGAATTAAAGGGGACAGTTTTCGAGACAGAGATAGGTGTAGAAAGGGGTTTGCATTCAGACATTCCAGCCCGTTTTAAAATATCATTCATATACCGTTGTTGAGATAAAATAATCCCATTGTTACTCTTAACTGTTTCAATACCCCGAAAGAAATTTGGTTCACCAAGATCTCTGATTTTGAATGTAGCAGACAATTTGGACAAGAGCTGAGACATAATACCTTGATCACTTTCCATTACAAGAATGTCATCCACGTACACCAATAGATAAACCAAAGCAGAGTCTTTAGAGTAATAGAACAGAGAGACATCTGTCTTGGATGCTTGAAAGCCAACCGATAGTAAGAACGTATGTAGTCGATTAAACCAAGCTCTGGGAGCTTGTTTTAACCCATACAGAGATCTTTTTAACAAACAAACATGATTCGGGAAGTTAGCATCAATATAACCAGGGGGTTGCTTCATATAAACTGTTTCAGTCAGATTACCATTCAGAAAAGCATTATGAACATCTAACTGTTTGATAGACCACCCAGATGATAAAGCTAGAGATAGAAGGAGTCTTACAGTCGTAGGCTTTACCACTGGACTAAAATTGTCAAAGAAGTCCTGACCTGGAACCTGATTAAAACCTTTCGCAACCAGCCTGGCTTTATGCCTTTCAATAGCACCTACATATCTGGCACTGAACCTGATTGCTACCACTGTTGCGTCCGCGACCGCGGCCACCACGCCCACGGCCACCTTGCTGTCTACCGCCACCACCACGATTGGACCCGCTATTGCCACCGCCTGCTCGTTGACCGCCGCCACGGTTCTGACCTCCGCGACCTGATCGGCCGCCACCGCGCTGAACAGCAAGAGCCGCGGAGCACCGCCGTAATCACGGCTGGCGATAAATTCTTGGGCGCCGAGGAAGTCCGCCAACTCCTGGAGCGTGACCGGCTGCCCACGGACGGCAAGAGACGCGGTGAGGGCACGGAATTCCGGTCTCAAGCCGCGAAAAACAAAGAGATTCTGATCGTCGAGGGAGACGACGCGGCCGGCAAGGGTGAGCTCTTCAACAATCACCTGAGCTCGCCCGATGTAATCCGCAACCGAAGAATCACCCTGGTCCAGTCCTTGCAACTGGCCGAGAAGGTTTAACGCGCGGGCGCGGGAGGAAGACGACAACGTCTGAACAATGGCCTTCCAAAGGGCATGACTCGTGCGACGTCCGACGGCGATTGGCATGACCTCGTCGGAGAGGGAGGAGACAAGCATGGACAACAATGCTTGATCTTGACGCATCCAAACGGCATAGGCGGGATTCGGCCGTGGCATGGCGTCGGCAGCAAGAAGAACAACCGGTGAGGGTTTCGTACCATCAACAAATCCCATTAGGTCATGCCCGTGAAGAAACGGGACGACTTTCGTACGCCATAACAAATAATTCTTGTAGGTTAACTTCGTACTGATGAAGTCATGTGTGGTGGATAGCGACACAATTGACGACGAACTTGACGACATAGCAGCATCAGACACGGTCCGTTCGGAGGAATTAACAGATCCGTCAGCCATAGGGACGAGAGACAAAGAAAAAACCCTAGCTTACTGATACCAGATGAGAACTGATTGTATTGTATTTACTGAACTTAATTACAATGAGATCAGATGATGTGAATATATAGAATAGAGAGTCACAGTTTGACAATGATAAGAAGTAGAGAGTCACAGTGTGACAAGGATAAGAAGTTCTAAACAGACTCATATACATAGAGTCCTAATATTCTGTAATGTTGATTATACGAGAATATGAGATGGAAAGTTGACACCATGAAAACACAGTTAGGGTGTGTTTGGTTGATGGGTTTTGACCATAGGAATGAGTATGAAAGTGATTGTTATTGTTTGGTTGATAAGTTTTTAGAATACTACTATGGATTTCGAATACCACATCAATTGAAAAATTCATACTTAAATAAAATAAGGGTTTCATTCCCGATTCATTCTCAAACACTACTATTAGTAACCATTCCCATTCTACCCTACTACCAAACATGTTAAATACTTTTACCAAAATCCATTACTATTACCAAGTATTTGATACCCATTCCGATTCCCATTCCCATGTGCGAACCAAAAACACCCTTAGTTGATGCATGAATGCATCCACCACTTCTTTATCTTCATATCAGACCATATTAAACTAATAACATGTTAAACTTATAATTCAGTGTATCTTCAATCTGAAGTAATTTTTTGCTTCTCAATAATTCATCAATTAAGATAAACAAGTATTTATCGAGAGTTTCTCGTAAGAGTGTCTTATATAAAAAGAGTCATGGAGGGAATTTGAGAAAATTTTACAAAATAACCAATTTATCCTTTAATAATTTGAAAAATTAAAATAAACTTTTAATGTTAACAAAATCTATAAGTAATGGATTAAAACAACCACTTTCAACATAAATGGTAGGGAATACCCCGACCGACATGCCTTCGTCTTTTTTATTCTTGTTTGTGCAGGTTACAGGTCGGACTTTCTTAGAAGAACCCGGTCGGTTGTCGACCGGGAATTACCCGAACGACGTCCTCCAACCCCGATCGATAGCCCTTAGGCGAGAGAGCTGCGGAAAGACACGTGGCGGCATTACGCGCTGACAGGCAATGGCACCCGGGAAGAGGACACGTGGTTGCTACGTGGGAGACATGCCGAACGGCCGGATTTGTGTCTCCGGCCCAGCGGCTATAAATACCAGCGGTTGCAACAGTGTGAGGGACTTTTGGACGATCGAAAGGCTATTGATAGAGCATCCCGACCGCAGTCAGTCGGCCCTCAGAATAGCCAGTGTAGATTGTACTTAGGACCTTCACCTTGATCAATAAAAGACGTTTATTTGCTTTAATTGGTCTTGTGTTATTTTATTTACCGCTTACGTGGCAATTAACACTATCATTTTGGCGCCGTCTGTGGGGACCCGTGCAAGTAAGCTAACGTTTGACGAGCACCCGTCCTATTTCTCAACATGTATCCATTCGCATACAACCTCCTCGACGACGATCAAGCGGATGCGGCCAGTTCATCCGATCATCAGCAGACGCAATACCAAGGTCCCACCGTTGATCTCAATCTCAACCTCTCACCACCCCATCCAGCAGCTCAATACCCGGTCGCCCAACAGCCGGTCAACTATATCCAACCGGGATATCCAACACCCGGTCAGCAGCTTCAATACCCCGGGCAATATCCTTACCCGGTCCCACCTCCACCATATAGATATTGGCCCGGCCAACCGATGTTCTATACACCACCGGCCGGTTATCCACCCTACACGCCTGCGTACACGGCTTCAGCCGCCGCTCCTCCGATTTACCCGACCGCACAGGTAGAGCCGGAGCATCAGCCCACTTCCCGAGCTCGACGCTCGGCTCGTTCACAGTTGGGGTCGCAGGGTGCCGAGGCCATGGAGGTACCACGGCAGGCTCCACAGGTGCAACCAGAAGTTCAAGCCCAAGCGGAGGACCCCGAAGAAGTCAACCGGGCAGTAGCATTCGAGCGCCTCCGACCAGCAATGCGGCAGCGATTGGGATCGCAGGACCCGAGCCGGCGCTTGGGAGATGTACCGATGCTGGAGGCCAGCCAGGAGGCTTCATCCGGGCATAGTGGGTCGAGATCTCACCGTCGACGACGCGCCCGGGAGACAACCCAGGCCCAGACGGCCGAGCTCAACGAGACCCGAGGACTGCTCCATGATCTCCAGGCAGAATTCGCTCGGTTTTGAAACGAGCAAGCAGTGAGGCCCCCGGTCGACCAATCGTCCTTATTGAGGACACCCTTTACAGCGGAGATAATGGCCCAGCCATACCCGCTCGACATGCAGGTCTCGCGGAACAAAGGTTACGATGGCCGTACGGACCCTGAGGTCCGTGTCAACGACTATTACAGCAATATGATGATGATGGGCGTGTCAGACGCCGTGATGTGTAGGGCTTTCTACTCCACGCTTTCCGGTCGGGCGGCGGAGTGGTTTCGAACATTGCAGCTGGGCGCTATTGACCGATTTCCTTGTCAAGTGGAAGGCTGTGGTCGGGGAAGTTGAACCGATGGATGACGCCACCGCCACCCATATGCTCCACATTTCTCTCCGGGCGGGTTATCTCTATCAAGATTTCATCCTCCATCCCCCGGCCACTTATGAAGAAGCCCTTCGAAGGGTGACGGATTACGCTAATGCCGGAGAAGCGAATGCCGTCAAACGATCGCAGGAGGTCGGGACTTCATCCCGTAAACCAGCCGGCCGGGCGGAACATCGGTCGGGTGATGACCATCCCCGATCCCGCACCAGGCCTGGCGAGTTTACGGCCTTGAACCGATCAGCGGCGGAAGCTATGTAGTACGCCCAATCTTGCAACCTTATCCGACTCCCCCATCCCGGACAAGACAGACCGGACAAATCTAAGCATTGCACTTATCACCGGTGTGCCGGGCATGACACTGAAGAGTGTACCCACTAACGCCAGCTATTAGAAGGTTTGCTGAGTATTGGAAAGCTGGACAAGTGCGTGGGGAAGAGAGAAGAAACGAAGAAGAATACCGATCGGAGAGATCATCGACGTTCACATCACCGCTCCGATCGCTCCGATCGTGGTGAACGTTCAGATCGGTCGGGTCATGACCACAGGGATGACCGCAAGGACGACCGTCGGGACCCCGACCCTCTATCTAGCAGCCGACCATCCACGTCATTTTTGGTGGATTGGATGATGCTTCCCGACCGAGGGAGAATTGCCCGGTCGCGATCGTAGACTCCCATGATACCGGGAAAAGACAAAAGATGGAGCCCATAACCTTCACCTTGGAGGACCAGCCCAACAGCGGTGATCACGGCATGGAAGCTCTCGTGGTCACCATTAATGTAAATGGGACCGATGTCCAGAGGGTTATGGTGGACACCTGGAGCAGTGTTGGTAGGGAATATCCCGACCGACATGGCTTCACCACGACCGAGGTACCTTCGTCTTTTTCTCTTTGTCTTTGCAGGTAACAAGTCGGGCTCCTTGTAGAGAACCCGGTCGGTGTCCGACCGGGAGGTGCCCGAGCGGCAGTGTCGACCACCGATCGGTAGCCCTTTGGCGAGAGAGCTGATAAAGGACACGTGGCGGCTCTCTACGACGACAGGCAGGGCACCCGGGAGGATGACACGTGGAGGCTACGTGGAGAGCATGCCGAACGACCGGATTCTTGTCTCCGGCATAGCGGCTATAAATACCCACAGTAGCCACAGTGTAGGGGACTTTTGGACGATCGATAGGTTGTTGTTAGAGAATCCCGACCGCAGTCAGTCGGTACTCAGAGCAACCAAGTAGATTGTACTTAGGGCCTCTACCGTGATCAATAAAGACATTTACTTGCTTTAATTGGTCTCGAGTTATTTCATATCGCTTACGTATAATTAGCAGTATCATTTTGGCGCCGTCTGTGGGGACCAGTGCAACAAAGCTACGTCTTGACGAGCACTCGGCCTCTTTGCAACAATGTATCCGTGGGCATACAACAACTTCGCCGACGACCAAGCAGATGCGGCGAGCTCATCTGACCATCACGCTACCCAACAGCAAGGTCAGACGGTCGATCTAAACCTCAACCTCTCGCCACCGCATCCATCAAACACATACCCGACCGCCCAACAGCCGGTGAACTACATACAACCGGGATTTCAGACGCCCGGTCAGCAATACCCGCAACCGATGATGTATCCCGGTCAGTATCCGTACCCGGTCCCACCTCAACCGTATGGGTATTGGCCAGGCCAACCGATGTACTATACTCCTCCGGTTGGATACCCACCGTTCACGCCTGCGTACACGGCTCCAGCCGCCGCCCCTCCAGTATACCCGGCCGCTCAGGTAGAGCCGCAGCATCAGCCCACCTCCCGGGCTCGACGCTCGGCTCGTTCGCGGTTGGGGTCGGGGGGTGCTGTTGCGATGGAGGCACCCCGGCAGGCCCAGCAAGCAGAAGAGGTTCCCGCCCAAGCGGAGGACCCTGAAGAAGTTGCCCGAGCGGTAGCTTTTGACCGTCTTCGACCGGAAATGCGGCAAAGATTGGGACCCCAAGATCCGAATCGCCAACCGGAAGACGTGCACATGCAGGACGCTAGTCAGGAGGCTTCATCCGGGCATAGCGGGTCGAGATCACACCGACGGCGACGTGCTCGGGAAACAGCCCAAGCCGTCCAAACCGCCGAGCTCAACGAAACCCGAGGATTGCTCTATAACCTCCAGGCGGAAGTTGCGCAGCTCAAGAATGCATACCCTGCAACACCCCCGGTCAACCAATCGACCCTGCACCAGACGCCTTTCACAGCAGCGGTAATGGCCCAGCCTTACCCGCTCGACTTGAAGGTCTCTGGAGAGAAGAGTTATGACGGACGGGCAGACCCTGAAGCCCATGTGAATGATTTTTACAGCAGCATGATGATGAATGGCGTTTCAGACGCCGTAATGTGTAGGGCATTCTACTCTACGCTCACTGGTCGAGCAGCAGAATGGTTTCGGACCTTACAACCGGGCTCGATCGA